ATGACCGGACCCCCCCAAAAAAAATGTTCCTGAATTAACCACTGATAAAAGCAATGCCTGATGATTTATTTTTGAAAGGAGAGAGATTAATAAGGGGGGCAAATTCTGTGTGCATTTTTTATTATTGTATTAGGCAGGCAAACTACCACTTGAACCATGCCTCCAGTACTTTTTTGTACTGGTTATTTTTGAGACAGGGTCTCAGTTCTTGCCCCAGGATGTGCTAAGACTGTGAACTGTCCATTGTAGGTTTCTCATGGTAGGTGAGATGATAGGCAGATGCTACGACGTCCAGCCTCTTCCATTGAGATGAAGCCTCACAGACGTTTCTTTTGCAAAGCTGACCTAGCAACCTCTCAGGAAGGTAGAATGGAGCTAAGAGTACAGGCATAAGTCACCCGTGCCAGAGTTTGTGTGTGTGTTTTGTTTGGTTTTAACCACTTTAATGTTTATGTTAGTGGTTTTAATGTAGAGAGGTCCCTGCTTCTATTATTGTAGAAAAATACATGCAAGGGCTAGGATGTGGTTTAGTGGTAAAGTGCTTGCCTAGAATGCATGAAGCCCTGGGTTTGATTCCTCAGTACCACATAAACAGAAATAGCTGGAAGTGGTACTGTGGTTCAAGTGGTGGAGCGCTCGCCTTGAGCTGAACAGCTGAGGGACAGCGCTCAGGCCCAGAGTTCAAACCCCACGACCGACAAACCAACAAACAAAAAACCAAAAAACATTTAGCCGGGCGCTGGTGGCTCACGCCTGTAATCCTAGCTACTCAGGAGGCTGAGAACTGAGGATCGCGGTTCAAAGCCAGCCCGGGCAGGAAAGACCGTGAGACTCCTATCTCCAATAAACCACTCGAAAACCAGAAGTAGCGCTGTGGCTTAAGCAGTAGAGCACTCACTTTGAGCTGAAGAGCGCAGGGACAGCGCCCAGGCCCAGAGTTCAAGCCCCACGAATAACCAAAAAAAAAAAGCCCTTGGTGTCTCAATCTCCAAATTACCATCCATGAATCAATGGTCATCATGGCTGCCTAATTGGCCAGGAAATTCCAATGGAAGTTTAAAAATACTCTTGAAGGGTTGGTAGAACTTAGCTATGCTAGAAAGGTGGAGTCTGGTGGGGGTGGTAAACACTCTAAATGAAGAAATAGAAAGAGAAGGGGGAAATCCAGAGAAGCTGCTTCAGAATCTTGAGAGATGGACCCAAGGGCAGGTGAAGGGTCAGCCAAAGCCTTCATCCTATAGGAGATATGGGAAAAGCCCAACAAGACAGCTTTTTCAAGCACCTCTAGCAGTCGAAAATGATAATGCCAACGATTATTTGATCTCTAGTTCAAGGACTGTATGGGAGCCCTGAATGTAGGTAACATTTATGGAGTACCAGCTATATGCCAAGCACTTTTTGTTAGCACTTTAGGTGTACTACAGAATCACCCCTCATAATCACCCCATAAAGTACATTCCATTATTCTCCCTGTTTTGCCAATGATGAAAATGAAGCATAGCAAACTGGCATTTTCTGTCATCTCCCTTTTATTCAATGGTATGACTCAGAGTTCCTATGATATACTGGATAGTTAATTATACACACTTAACAATAGGGGATATATTCTGAGAAATGTATCATTTGGTGATTTCATTATTGTGTGAATATCAGTATTATACAAACCTGGATGGTAGGATCAATCACTGTGTGTGGTGATTGTTTCTCTCCCTCCTTCTCTCTCTCTTTCTCTCTCTCTTTGAGTATTTTGTTAAGGATTAAATCCAGGATCTGAATAACTTGCTAGGCAAGTGCTCTATCACTTGAGCTATGGTCCTGCACAATTGTCTATTGATGAAATGAAGAAATACAAAGAACACAAGATCTGTGAGGTTGCTATAGTATAACATGGCATTATGATTCCAGCCCCCTACAGTAAACTTTTTAAAGTATAGTGTATAAAAAGCACTGATTACAAATAATAAACTTACATATGCACATGGTTTATTCTCATAATCTATTATTACATACTGTCCATACCTTAAACTATAAGTTTTTTTTTTTTTGTTGTTGTTGGTTGAGGGGCTTGAACCCTGAGCCTGGGGCCTGTCCTTTAGCTCTTCAGCTCAAGGCAAATGCTCTACCACTTGAGCCACAGCACCACTTGCCCATAACTATAACTTTTATGATTTGTTGTATAGTAAATTTGTTTCTAACGCATCACTGAAAATATGAGTGATACATTGAGTGATATCATCATGGCTGCTTTGTCACTAGGTAGTGGATATTTTCAGTTCCATTATAATGTCTTGGGACCATGGTGGTTTATGAAGTCCATTGTTGACCAATATGTTGTTATGTGATTGTAGTTAAAACCAAAATTGTGGAAGGGGAAGGGGAAGTAAGTGCTCCAAAACAAAGCTGGTTAGGGGTCAGAGTGGTAAGAAGTTTGAATTCCTCCTCCCTATGCTGTGAAACTGAACTCAGAATCTGTACGAGCTAGGTAAGTGCTCTACCAGTGGTCTAAATCCATACCCCTTTTAATTTTTTCTTATTCTATAGGTATGAAAAGTTCCCAGATAGTTTTGAGTGAGGAGTTCCATGATGAAAATGTTAGGTAGGCTGGACAGACAGACGGGAGAGGATGAGGGTGGAGAAGGAAAGAGGCAGATGTGATTCCAGCTGACCCGGTAGGAGATGTATGGCAGTAATCTAGGAGGGAAGTTAGGTTTGGAGGTGACACAGTTGCAAGAGACATGATAAGCATCCTGGTGACCGAGCAACAGTGATCAGTGAGTCACGAGGGGGTGGGGAGACAGTTTAGGGAGGGGCAGTGCTAGACTAAACTTTGGCTTCCTTTGAGTGTGAGGGATATTGATTCATTCTGTCCTGGGAGATATTTGATTTCCTGACTTCAATTTTTAAACTTTATTTTATATAATCTCTTCTTTATGTAGATAGATGGCAACATTATCTTCATATTTTAATTTCACATGAATCCTTTGTTAAAGTATATTTACTTATTTTAATAATTAATATGAATATTGTCTTGTTATTCTAGTAATATAATTATTGATAATAACCTATAATTACTCATTATAGGTTATCAGACCAGGATGAAGAGGGCAAGACCAAGCAGGAGTGTATCATCTCTGACCCCTCCTTTTCCATGGTGGCAGTTCAGCGGGAAGACAGTGGGATCACCTGGGAGACCAACTCAAGTAGATCTTCTACGCCTTGGGCCTCGGAAGAAAGTCAGACTTCCGGTGTGTGTAGTCTGGAAGGGTCAACTTTGAATTCTCCTCCAGGAAATGTTTCCTTCATTGTGGATGAAGTTAAGAAGGCTCGGAAGAGAAATCATAAGTCAAAGCATGGCTCACCGTCATTGCGCAGGAAAGGCAGTAAAAAACGAAATTCTTTGGAATCCCAAGATCTTCCAGCACACAAAAATGACAGTCCTTTAATTTCAGAGAGCCAAGCACTAACCACAGAGAAAGAGAAGTCATCTGCTGGCATTTATGATAAAACAAGAAAAAAGAAGACCACCTCAAATACTCCTCCTATTACTGGAGCAATATACAAAGAACACAAGCCATTAGTGTTAAGGCCTGTCTACATTGGAACAGTGCAATATAAAATCAAGATGTTTAACTCAGTAAAAGAAGAACTAATTCCTCTACAATTTTATGGAACATTGCCAAAGGGTTATGTAATTAAAGAGATACATTATAGGAAGGGAAAAGATGCATCCATTAGTCTAGAGCCAGATTTGGACAATCGTGATTCTAATGTAGTTTTGAAAAGAGGCAAATCAGTAGCCCAAAGCATAGAAGATGACAAAGGGAAAGAGCTTGCTCCACCCTGGAGAGGTGCCCTCTCCAAGGGATCCAAGTCCTTTACCTCATTATTCAGCCATGAGGAGCAGAAGAAATCTTACGTTGATTCACCACTAAACGCCACACCACATACCAAGTATACAGATTCCTCTTATGCAAGGAATAACACTGCAGAGCAAGGTCAACTCAGACCTCAACAGTCAGTGCCACAACAGTCAGAGGATGAGGTGGAAACTCATGAAACAGAGCCCACCTCTCTTCCATCTGCCACTGCATTCCTGGAAACAGCAAAGGAAGAATTGAAACCAGATTCACAAGATTTTGAATCTTCAGAGATTGACTCTTCGAGCTCTCTAGCTTTCACTGATGAAGGAAAGAAGAGAGATACGCTTTCCGCTGACCATTCTGTGGCACTGGGCGCAGAGGAGGATTCTCTGGGGACACCAGGCCTGGTAACATCTACTGAGGAAGTGTTTGCACCAGGGGAGGAGGAACTAATCTCATCAGATAGAGCAGAACCAGCCTCTGAACACTGGACTCCTCCTCACCCCAGTGCCCAGGGAGAGAAGAAAGAACACATGCCTGAGCCATTCATCTCTCTAACATTGCAAGAACCGGGGAAAGATGAAGTAGGAGAGTCTCTACCAACAGCTGCTACTACTGAACTTGAAGACTCTGACTTAGCAGAAGAAATCATAGAACTTGATTACCCAGAAAGTCCATTAGTTTCAGAGAAGCCATTCCCATCACGTGTGTCTCCTGAAGTGGAGCACAAAGGAGAGAAGCCACCTCTACCTTTAGAGACAACACCTGTGCCTGACCACGTCACTTGGTCTGAGGAAGAAAGAGAGGAAAACGAGTCTATTTCCACCGATTCTGCTTTTGCCTCAGAATATTCAGTCCCACAAGATTTGAACCATGAACAAGAGAAGCAAGACGTTGAGGTGGTTCCTCCATCCACTGCAGAAGAAGTTTTGTTGGAGGAAGAGCGTGAGGAGTTGGAGCCTTATTCTCCATCTTTGGCCTCTGTGTCTGAGCGCTCTCTGTCACCATCAACAACTGAGAAAATCCCTGAGTGCCAGTCCCCATTGTTTTCAGCAGTTACATCAGAGATACTATCAGGAGATGAGGCCTTAGAAAGTGGGCCTTACACACCAGACTCCACATCTGCTTCTGAGTATTTACTTCCATCCCATGCAACACCAGACTCACTGAAGAAAACAATTGGTTCCAAGTCCCTGTTAAAACCACAGGGTTCTTCTGAGCCCATCGTTCTATCAGGAGAAGAGAAGGAAGACACTTCTCCATATTCTCCCACTGTGACCTCTATTTCTGAACCTTATCTCTCACCACCCACAACGGAGACAACTTCTGCAAGTCAGTCACCACTGCCTGCTGCTCCTATGTCAGATCACACAGCCCTGTCAGATGAACATTTCATACCAGATTCAAAACTGACTTCCAAACCTACAGTTCCACCAAAAGCAACACAGGAATCCCAAAGGAAGATAATGGATGATGTGCCCCAGCTCAAACAAAAAGGCATTTCTAAGCACAGAGCTTTGTCTGAAGAACAAAACGAAACCCTTGGACCATATTCCCCAGATATAGCTTCAGCCCCTGAATGCACTTTCTTACCACACTCCCCTGAGATGGCTTCTGAATGCCAGGCCTCACCACCCTCAGCCAGTCCCACTGAAGATGTAGCCTTGTCAGGAGAAACAATAGAGGCAGAGCGGTTTTCACCTTCTTCCACATCCACTTCTGATTTCTCAGCACCACCATATGCAACACCAGAGCCCCAGGAGGAAGAAATTACCCAGAGATCCCCTCTACATCTAAAAAGTGCCTCTTCGCCTACAAATCTATCAGAACAGCGACAAGAAGACATTGGCCCTTTTTCTCCTGATTCTGCATTTGCATCAGAATTCTCATTTTCACCTTATGCAACACAGGAAACAGGGAAAAGGGAACTTGAGTGTGATTCACCAGTGTGTTTAACATCACCATCTGAACAAACTATTTTGTCAGATGAAGACACTGAAGAAATGGAACTGTTTTCTCCAGACTCAGCATCCCAAGTTTCAATTCCACCCTATAGAATTCCAGACATGGAGAAAAATGAAATTGAGCCAGATTCCCTACTAACTGCAAGATCAGCTTCAGGATATTCCTACTTTTCAGAAGCAGAGGAGGGAGAGATGGGATCAATAGCTGCAACCCCAGTGCCTGAGCAAATATCTGAGCCTTTCTCTGTCATGTCTGAGCCTGAAGACTCAAGCCTGCTGCCTGCAGTAAATAAAGCTGACCAAGAAGAAGTCAAGTCAGATGCTCAAACAATCTCCACATCTGTATCTGAATATCTCATTTTGTCACATCAGCAGAAAACTCAGGCATCTGAACCTGAAGACAGGGTTCTGCCATCTTTGACCAGTAGATTGGAGAAGGGAGAAATTAAGGTCAGTTCATCAGCAGCCACGGCACCTGCCCTATCACCCGAACAGTCATCCATGGCAAAGGGAGAAACTAAACTTGTTTCTCCTGCATCTCAGTTTTCAGTTTCACCTGATTCAGTCCATGCAAAGAAAGAACAGGAGCCCAAAGCCTCACTTAGTGTAAAAGTTGAAGAGGAGCAGATGACCTTGCCAAAAGTCAGAGAAGAAGAAACTGTTTCCAATTCTCAAGCAGCTATAGCAGGTGGATCGCAGGATCAAAAACTGGAGCCTCAGTCTTCAAATATTCCAGGGTCTGGGATGCAATATTCTTCACTTTTGCCTGACTTGGTAGATGAGCCAAAGAAGGATGTCAAACCCAGTTCCGCTCCAACTATGACTTCTGAACTAGAAGAGAGAAGATTGTCAAAGAATGAGCCTGAAGTAGCAAAACCATCTTCATCTCCAAAGGAAACATCTATTTCTGGACCTGAGATTTTCTCTGAAGTGAAAACAGAAGTGAAACATGATTCCAACATATCGAGAGAGCTTCACTCAGCCTCGGCAGGAACAGGAAAGGAACTTGAACACAGTCCACCTGCACCAACCATTTCAGCTTTGCCAGAAGAAAGAAAGAAAAGAGCTGAACCCAGCCTCTCAACAACCACAGTACCTGCAAAGAAGCTTGATGTAAGCTTAACCAAGATAGCAAGAGAAGACATCCTGACAGATTCATCTCTTGCTACTCCTGGAGAACATGCAGGTTTATTAGCAAGACTAGGAGAAGATGAAGTAAGCGGAGGCTTGCCACCAACTGCAGTGATAGATGAGCATTCTGTACGAAAAGAAGAAAAAGTAACTAAAAGTGCTTCTCTCACTGAAACTTCTTTACCCAAAGATTCAGCTTGGTCAGAATCAGAGAAAGAAATTAAATTAGATTCCTCTCCAAGTAGATCTTCTATAACAGAGCATTCTGTTTTGTCAAAAGTAGAAATGGAAGAAATTAAACCAGTGATGCCGGTATCTAAAGTGTCATCCTCTCAGCATTCTGATGTATCTGAGGAATCAAGAGTAGGAGAAAAACAAGGTCTTTCATTTTCTGCAAGCCTCAGCTCTGAACGTTCGGTTTCATCACAGAAGAACTTGGTGTCTGCCTCAGAGGCATCAAGGCCAGAACCTTCTCTTTCACTCCACCTCAGTGAAGAAACCAAATTTCCTTCAGTACAAAACGTGTCACCTGTACCTAAACCTGTAATTCCAAAAAGCAAAAATGAGGAGACAATCATTTCTTCTCCTAAGTTTGAAAATTTAGTGTCAGAAGCTTTAGAGCCAGCATTGCTGACTCTCGGGGATGGTGAGAACAAACAAGCAGGAGAGGAATCTTCTCCAGTGCAAGATTTCCTCTCAGGAAAACAGGGACTTGCTGTGGCAGAGCTTCCTAGAGAGCATGACAAGCTAGTCCACCTATCTGAACCGCCAAGTGCTAGGTCCGAATTGCCTAGTGGTTTAAGTGGGCCAAGTGGGTCCATAGATATAAAAGCAATACAGTCTCTTGTAACTGAAACTGGGGGTTCTGTTTTAGAAAAGAGTCGAGCTGAGCTTAGTTACAGAGGAGAAGGAAATGAAGAAAACAGGGAACGTCTTGAGTCTGGTACAAAACCATCAATGATTGTTTCCCCTGACATCCTTGTGGAACAAAAGAAGCCCGAAAGAGCACTTCATTCAGCTCAAGCTGTTACATTGCCCGATGTGAGCAGCTCTCATGCAGATCAGCCAGAGCTGGGTGCCAAACAATTTTTATTTATGAAAGAAAATTTGCCTGTGGAACAATCAAAATCATTTATTTTACTTGAGCCTGCAGATGTGAAAGGAGCCACAATGAAAGAGTCTTTTCCTTTTCCAAAAGATGATAACAGGATGCTGCAAAAGCCAGATGATTTGGCTGGTCAACATGAAGGAGGAAGAAGAGAGTCTGAGCAGCTGGCTTTCTCTGGCAGCGATGCTCTGATGACAGAGCAGCTCCAGGCTGCTGCATCCGATGAGGATCAGACACGAGAAATCAAAACGCAGGCTCTGCCACATTCTGCTGAATTACAAGAACCAGTGTCTGCTCTCAATACCTCTATCAATGATGGTTTTGTTTTATCAACTCAAACTTACTTTTCTGAAGAAGTGAAGTTGGCTCAAGGACCAAGTAGAGAAAGAAACGTAGCAGAGGAGAGACAGATCCATTCTATGATGGGGAAGGAAAGCTTGATATTGGAGAAAGTAAACGGTGAATTTTCCAAGCCTTCCAAAGCAGAGAACCAGAAAGAAATCAAACTACTTCCTGAAAACCGCCCCCAGAAAGTGGTGCTTGGCCCATCAGTGGAAGGGGTAGAGCCAGGCACTGTGAAAGCAGAAGTTGTGGAACCCACAATGGGCCAAGAAAATGAAGCCCACAGGAGCACATCTCCTCTACCTGGAGAGAAGACATTTGCAGAATCAAAAATGGTTCAGTCAAAGGTTGTACATAATAGTAATGAGGTAAGGAAACCAGCTCCTGAAATACCCACACGAAGGAAGCCCACCCCCTCAATCCAAGCACCTGAAGAACCTCAAGCCTCCGAGATACCTGAGGTGACACAAAAACTTCCCGAAAAGCCTAAGGCGGTGGAGCAAAGTCTTCCTGAGGAAAAGGGAAAGAAAGGAATTTCATCTTTCAAATCATGGATGTCCAGTTTATTTTTTGGATCAAGCACTTCAGAAGACAAAGTTGCTGAAAAAGATTTAGAAACACAGCCAAGTCCCTCTGTAGAAAAAGCAGTGACCATGGTAGAGCCTGAAGGTACAATTCCTCCTGATGCTGGTGTAAGTCGGAAAACAGCTGATCTTTCAGTACCAGAGGTAAAACTTAAAATGGCTGAAGAATGCAGAGTTAAATCTACAGAAGGTCAAGACCTTAAAGAAAACTCCACATCTTTATCAAACACAGAAGCTTTAGAACAGCCCAAATCCAACTTTGAGGTCTATAGTGAAGATTATGAGAAGAAAGAAATCTCAGACTATTCAGAGAAAATGGGCATAAAGTTAGCTACAACTGAGGAGAATCTCGGAATTCAACCTTATGCCCCTATGGGTGAGAAATCAGTAATGGAAGAAGCCAAAAATGTGATTCCTTTCCCTGTTCCTGAGAGTAAAAGCCACCAGAAGCCAGCAAGCGTTCCTTCATCTCCATGGAATGTTGCTGGTCTTAAGGAAGAGCCAAGCCTTGATCAAAAAGAAAAATCACATATTTCCTTTGATGTAGTAGATAAGATGCCACAACAGCCCAAAGAAGTTTCATCTGACATCACAAATAAATATACAAAGAAGCAATCAGAGAAGCCTGCAGAGCAAATAATTTTGTCAGTACAAGAATCAAAAGACAGCTTAGCTAATCTTGGCGAGGACAGGTTCAAGAAGGAAATGTCCAAATCTACTTTGAAACATTCTGAAGAGAAGAAAGATAGCCTGGAAACAACACCATTTGTCTTGACAGAAAAGAAGGATATGGTAGAAAACCCCGAAGTGATGGTTTCTTTCAAGTATAGAGAAAATCAAGGAATAGGGGAGTCACAAATGATACCTGACTTTAGACCTACTAAACTAGGAGAATCAAGAGTTGCTGTGAGCCTGGAGCACATCTATTCAAAAGAACACAAGGAAAGGTCTGACATTATTGTAGCTTCTGAGGAGGAAAGAGAAGGAAAAGACAGGCAGGCACAGATATTTTCAGAAGAAAGGAAGCAGGAAAGCCAACCGTACTCTCTGACTATAGCCCGGTCTGTGCCTGAAACCCCCCCTGTCTCTTTAGGTCATTCTTTGGATGAAACTCAACCACTTTCATCCATTAAAACACCACCAATTACTGAAAAACCAGAAGGCATGCTCTCAGAGGCTCACCCAGAAATCAGGGAAAGAATGACAGTTGAAACTCAACCATATCCATTAGAAGAAAGTAAAGTTTTGGTGGAGAAAACCAAGGTATTCCGCCCGGTGGTTCCACATCACGATGAAATAGATAACCATTCGTTACCTCAGGAAGGAAATCTGGTATTAGAAAAGTCAAGCAAAGGAAAAGTCATGTCAAGTCTCAAAGAGGAAACGTTTATTGTATCAGAACTATCCAATGATGGCTCAGTAGCTATCACAAATGAAAGCATTAAGGGAGGACCTCCGTCTCCAGACTCTGAAATGACATTAGATCTTCCTTCTAATGAAGCAAAGAAATTAGAAACACCGCCATATTTGCTGTCACTGGGGAAGCCACAACCTCTTGTTTCAGGAACTTCTCCAGAAATTAGTACAATGAAGAAACAGGAAGTTCCATGGTCAGAATTAACTCCAGATAGGCCTACTGTCCATACCATGCAAACATTTAAAGACCACCCATCTGAGATACCTAAACAATCCATTCTTGTTTCAAGGCGCCATTTTGAGACAAGAGGAGATGCCCACATAAACGAACCACATTCTTCAGCAACAAGCAATTATGCTCAATTTATAATGAATACATCAGCAATCATTGCTGATGAAATGACTTCTACCAAGGAAATGTCCAAGGAGCCTGAAGGCACAAATGCAAAAGAGGAAGAATTTACAGCAACTAGTAAGCCAGTGGGACTTTCAAAAGATCAGAAGAGTGCCTTCAGTATCATTTCTGAAGGATGTGAGATATTGAATATTCATGCTCCTGCCTTTATTCCTTCAGTGGATCAGGAAGAAAGTGAACAAATGCAAGCTGAGTTAGAATGTTTGCAAGAGAAAGCCCCATTTAAAACAACATTCCTCCATGAGGAAAGTGAAGAAGTTGTTTCCCATGGAACCCTAAAGAACAACTTAAATGATTCTGATAGAAAAGGAAGGAAGGAAAGTGAACAAAAGGCAACTCATAAAACAAAAGAGGAGAGAGCCACCAATCCAGAGACAGGTGATTTAATTTTTACTCAGCAGATAATTCCCAGTGAAGAAGATTATTTTGAAAAATACACTTTGATCGATTATAACATCTCCCCAGATCCAGAAAAGCAGAAAGCTCCGTGGAAATTAACGATTGAAGAGGAACTCTCAAAGAGAGCCAGAAAAGAAACTTCCCCAGAAAGTTCACAGCAGAGTGCCCCGGAACACAAATATGACTTGGTGAAATTAGATGAAAGCTTTCATGGATTAGAAAAGGACCACAAAAAATTACCTCACCCAGAGCCACAAAAATCTTTGGTTATCGGAGAATCAGCGGATGTAACCTCTTCAAAGGGCACAAACAGAGATGTGGACTCTAGGTCACCTGGAATGCCTTTATTTGATGCAGAAGAAGGAGTTTTGTCAAGAGCTCAGATATTTCCTACCACTGTCAAAGCTGTGAATCCTGAGCTTCTGGGAGAGCCACCTGCACTTGCATTTTTATATAAGGATCTGTATGAAGAGGCAATTGGGCAGAAGAAGGGAGAAGGCAAGACAGCTAATGAAGGTGACAGTGTGAATTCGGAGACATCACTTCCGAGCAGACATTCTGACATTGACGATGGCAGAGGAATGTATTTTGAGAAGTATACACTCAGGGATGACATTCTTCTTGACACATCTGTAACTCAAAAGGACCAAGGCCAAGGTCTAGAAGCAAAACCAGTTGTTAAGGATGATTCATACCAACTGATAGCTGCAGAAGAAGACATTTGGGGGAAGCCTGGAGTTATTTGGAAGAAGAGTCTGGAAGAAGAACCAAGGGCTATTTATAGAGAAAAAGAACTGGTTGGCCACATGGAGATGCGTGGTGAAGTGGCAACACAGAGGAAAGTAGCCATAGCTGAGGAAGTCAGAGTGGTTACTCAAAAAATGAGCTATGCAGTTCCATTTGAAGACACCTGTCAAGTTTCAGAGGGTGCAGAAGAACCAAGCACTCAGGGCAATGAGGTAGGAAATGCGAGTCCAGAGGTCAATTTGAATGTCCCAGTACAAGTGTCTTTCCCAGAGGAAGAAGAATTTGCATCTGGTGCTACCTATATTCAAGAAACACCACCAGAAGGATCTAGAAGACTGGTCCCAGCTGAGCCAAGTGAAGAGAGACTCCGCAATAGCCCTGTACAGGATGAATATGAATTTGTTGAGTCCATGAATTATGAAGTGGTCAGTCAAAACATTTTATCAGGAGAACTACATTCAGAATCCACATCTAAAAATGTGTTATCTCAAGAAAAGGAATCCTTTGAACCCCTCAAGAAACATGAATTTGCAAGAGAGGCAGAACAAAGTATGTCTGCTGAACAGAAAGAGTTGGGTAGAGAGAGGACAGAAGAAGATCAATTAGTGTCAGCGTTAGTGACTGAGAAGGCACAAAAAGAACCAAAAAGGTCCCAGGTTGAGGCCTATTGCTATACCTGTAAAAGCCTCATTTCTGCAATGGACAAGGCATTTGACACCCACAAAGACCACGAGGTTTCAACGCTTGACACAGCCATAAGTGCTGTGAAGGTAAATCCATTTTAAAACAAACAATATAATGTAGTCACTTTTATATTATATGACTGATATTTAGTATAGTCATCCTTAAGCAGAATAATCTGAAGGACAACTAAGAATGCTTCTCTAAGGATTTAGTTAAGATTGGTTTGACAAGCTGGCACCATTGGCTCACACATGTAATCCTAGTTACTAGTTACTTGGAAGACTGAGATCTAAGGATTGTGGCCTGAAGTCAGCCTAGGAAGGAAAGTCTGGAAGAGCCTTATGTCCAATAATCACCAAAAAGCTGGAAGTAGAGTTGTGTCTTGAGTCATAGAGTCCTCCATGAATGGAAAAGCTCAAAGACAGCGTCTAGGCTCTGAGTTCAAGCCCCTGCACACACAAAAGCGTGCACACACACACACACACACACACACACACACACACACACACACACACACAGATTAGTTTGAGAAATACTTGCAAGGCATTTTTCTAAGTCCTAGGGATTTAGGAGCATTGCCTATGAGGGGCTTGTCATCTTATATGAATGATCTTTACATTTTCAAAAATGCCAAAATGGCTCACATCTGTAATCCTAGCTACTTAGGATAGTGGTTTGAAGCCAGCCTGGGCAGGAAACTCTGAAAAACTGGAAGTAGAGCTATGGCTCAAGTAGTAGAGCACTAATCTTGAGGAAAAAAAAAAAGCTCAGGAACACCACCCAGTCCCTGAGTTAAAGCTCTAGGACTACCCTTCTCCCCCCCCCCCCCACAATAGCCAAATGACTTTACACTTAAAAAATATACTTCTAAATAGAAAATATAGTTTAGTTATATAATCTGCAATATTGTCCTTGACGTATACCTATATTACGTTGAGCAATTTAAAAATGTTTTCCCTCTGGTGTTACTAGAGTTTGAACTCAGGACCTAACACTTGCTAGGTGGGTGCTTTATGACTGAGCCATACCTCTATCCCTATTGTAAATTTTATAAAAATGCTGAAACAGATTTAAAATTTTGATTTTCTACTTTGGCTTATAAAATATGCTCAAGGGGCAATTTTCACATTCTTTTTGCCTATTTTTATAATATCCTATAAACATAATGTCCTCTAATGTCACAACACATACCCTATATATATGATTACAAAGATCCCACTTCTTTGGAGATGGCCATTGGAAACTAGCATTGAATCTTTGATTCTCTCATCTACTTTCAATCACTTCTAATAGTTTTCCTCTGCCTCTTTGTTTCTCAGACAGCAGCCAGAGTGATCTTAAAATTGGCAATTAACAACATGAGTGGAGCACTTAGTCTGTGCCAAGCCTGTGCTATGTTATTTATATACAGGATGCTTTTGACACCTTATAGCTCCCCTGTCTCCACCATCAATTTGTACATAATGAAATGTGCTCAGTTTGTTTAAGTGATTTGCCAAGGTGATCGGATGCAGAGCTGGGATTGGTAACTAGGGCAGAATGATGCCAGAGTTCACACTATTGACTGTATAGCCATATTTGTTGGCTCAGAAGCTTGTTAATAACAGTGATTTAAAAAATGACCATCCAATTAGGTTGCTGTTAAATAACTGTCAGGCTCATGTTGATTAAATAAAATTATATATGAGAATCCTGGTTTTTATCTCCCTACCAAATTAATCCTTCTCAACTATTTCTATTTTTCCAGGGAAAAATTCTGTTAAAACTTTACCTATTAAAGTTTAGAGGAAGTAGGTAGAGCAACTTCTTTTGTGAGATCTCAAACCTCCGATGTGTTAGCTCAGTGAAGTGTAGCCCATTTCACAGTGATACTTGTTAAGGAACAGCTACCAGATACCATCAGAGGAAAGAAGCAGATTTTTCAGATTTCTTAACTATGTTTTGTTCATCTGTAAGTTTTGAAAATGAAAACTGTTCATTGAAAAATTTCAAAAGTAGAGCTGTAACCTGCTTAAAAATATTTTAGGTTTTTTTTCTCCTTGATCTTCTCTAAAGAGTATGAGGACAAAGTATGAACTAGTTGACTAAAGCCAGGGAAGTTTGCTTCATTATGCCATGTCAACCGTGAGATTAATAGTTGGTTGACAACTTTTTAGAAATAAAAAGCAATTAAAAGTTGTAAGTTGAGAATTCTTTAGCCTTTTATAGGTGGGCTTTTGTACTTGTGTAGGCATTGATTGTTGCATGTACAAATTACTCCTCCACCCTTTCATAGTGGCCTAACTTTTGTCCATCATTCTCTTCCTTTCATTCATTTTCTTCTTTCTTAATGTTTATGGACCTTTTTTATGTCCAGCATGTTTTTCATCATTAGACTTGAGAGGAAAAACTTAAAGAAAAAAGATGGTCTTGTAGGACCACCCAAATCAGTACAGGGTTGTGGTATGGGATACAATGTGCTTTGGGGAGGGAATTAGTGGAGTCGAAAGGGGAGCCCTGGGAAAGATGTCTCTGAAAACATGGCTGAGCCTTAAGAGAGATAGTGAGTGCTGTGGTAGAAGTCAAAGGCCAGGAGAACATTCTAGAGATAGAGAACACCCTTGGAAAGAGTCCAAGGAAAGATTGCAGCCTGTTGATGGGAGCTGGGAGGCACTGGGGGCATGGGTTGCGGGGAAGGACAGGGCAGATCCTGTAGAGACCTCAACAATGTAGTGTCATCACCGTTCTGTGGATAGTCAGATGGTTGAACCTCTGTTAATCTGTTTTATTTATTTAGTTTAGTCAGGTAGACTTTTGCAAGTTTTATAGTAACAGCTAAAGTATATACCCTTCCTTCCCTTCATCCCGTACATTCTTTGTTGTTGTTGTTAATTGTGGGGCTTGAACTCGGCCTGGGCACTGTTCTTGAGCTCTTTCACTCAAGACTGGTGCTCTACCACTTTCAGCCACAGCGCCACTTCCAGTTTTTGAGTGGTTGATTGGAGATAAGAGTCTTGGAGACTTTTCTGACTTTTCCAGGCTGGCTTTGAACTGTGATTCTCAGAGTTCAGCCTCCTGAGTAGCTTGGATTACAGGCATGAGCCACCAGCGCTCTGTATCCCATACATTTTTTAATCTGGTTATCACCTCTTGAGAAGTTTAACCCTTTGAAGGTTGCCATAACTTTTGGGTCCTTTTAGTAGTCATTTGGTACAATAGACTTCTTCAGGTGGCACTCTGCTCACCCCATGTCCTTCATGCATACCACATGTGCCTATGTGAGGACATTGCTCAGGTATATTGAAGCATTTTAGCAAAAAGGCTGCTGTCTGAGACTATATAAAACTCAAGACCTAAGGCGAAAGCTTTTACACCCATAGTTCATTAAAGTAAGTATGCTTTGAGCTCACCTTTCTTGCATGAGAAATTTAAAGTAACTTTCAATAGTTGTGAACTTCTGGTTTATCATATAAAATTTCCTGCAGTTTAGATGAAGCAGCAAAAATAATTCAAGGATTGGTTTGTTAGTGAGTATGGCATAGTGTCTACCAAATACATTAAATTTATCGAGCACAAGTAGAACCTATTCCTTGACGTTCTTTTTCCAAGTATTATACACTAAGGATCTTTTAATTCTTTTCTTCAGGTACAATTAGCAGAATTTCTTGAAAATTTACAAGAAAAGTCCTTGAGGATTGAAGCCTTTGTTAGTGAGATAGAATCCTTTTTTAATACCATTGAGGTAAGTTCATAAAATCCCTCTTATTCTATCCTGGTTTGTTTAGTATTACCATTAAGTGATTCTGAGCTAAAAAGATCTGAACTAATGTGTGTGTGTGTGTGTGTGTATGTGTGTGTGTGTGTGTGTGTATGTGTTTTCTCCCACTGTTGTCTTTGTTTGTTCAAAGGAAAGCTCTTAGAGTCTTCCCTTTGTGTGTAATCAGTGAGAGTATTATCTGCCTAAGGATCAAGGACTTCTTAAACATTCACATTTATTGGGAACTTACCAAAATGCTTTATGCTTTACCTACTTTACCCAAATGAACACTCATTAGTAGTATATGAATTAGGTGTTATTTTTGTTGTTGTTGTTGTTGTTGTCGGTTGTGGGGCTTGAACTCTGGGCCTGGACACTGTCCCTCAGCTTTTCAGCTCAAGGGGCGTGCTCTGCCATTAGAGCCACAGTACCACTTCTGGTGGTTTATTGGAGATAAGAGTCTCACAGACTTTCCTGCCTGGGCTGGCTTTGAACCATGATCCTCAGATCTCAGCCTCCTGAGTAGCTAGGATTACAGGCACCCGGCTAGGTGTTACTCTTGAATTCATTTCATATGTAAGAATCTGAGACTTAGAATTAAGTACATTACTTTCTTGCCCCTCATTGGGGTGACTCTGAAGAACTGCTCCAAGTTACCACCCATTGTTTGGTGCCAGGCTCTGTGAGTGCCTCTCATAGTACCACTGTACTGGATGAGATCGTGTCTCCTGGCAGATGGCTTCTGCACCTCCACAGTGAAGAGATTTGGTAGAAATGCTCTATTCTTGTCCAGAGATGGCCTAGACACCCTCATCGTCAGCAGGAGTGGTGGAGATCTCCAGGCCACAGCTGAAGGCTGCTGCACAATTCCTACGTTCCTGTCATAGATCAGTGAGCCAATGATATTTATTGCCCCCTCCTCCAAGTGTCTCTTTTAGAGCAGGGTAGCCAGTCCACTGGGTGTGTCTGGATGGGTGATAAGTTTCTCTTACTGTGGCAGAAGCTTCCCTGCCCCATCCCTGGAGAACATTTTACATTTTATTTGATTGATGATGGCCAGGGACCCTTCCTCTCTGCAATTTTTATATCTATATCTATATTTTAGTGTGTGTGTGTGTGTGTGTATGGTGCTGAAGATGATACCCAGGACCTCATGAATGCTAGACAAAACATTCTACCACTAAGCTACATCTTAGCCCCCCAAACTCTCTTGGTGGTCCTCTCACAGTGCATTATATTACAAAATTAATTATGGCAAAGGAGATTGGTAGGTGAGAAATTTAGACCATGCATGTAACATTTGATTCTCTCATCAGGATGTCAGAAATCATGTCTTTAAAAGGAAAAAAGTTGGGAGGAAGAGATACACATGGACTTCTTGTGTCATTCTGAAGTGTCTTTGTTCCCATCCTCTAGGAAAACTGTAGCAAAAAGGAAAAAAGACTGGAAGAACAGAATGAGGAAATGATGAAGAAAGTTTTGGCACAATACGACGAGAAAGCCCAGAGCTTTGAGGAAGTGAAGAAGAAGAAGATGGAGTTCCTGCATGATCAGATGGTCCACTTTCTGCAGAGCATGGACACCGCCAAGGACACGCTGGAGACGATTGTGAGAGAGGCGGAAGAGCTTGACGAGACTGTCTTCCTGACTGTAAGCACCAAGGAAAATGCGTCTCCACGCCTGGAGCCCACCTGGAGCCCACTCTGATACCAGTCTATTTTTAAAACTTCATCTTTCAATGTTCTTTAAGGTCACTCACAGGTCAGGGGTAGTGGTTCACACCTGTAATCGCAGACTCTGGGGCTGGAAGGATTGTGAGTTTGAGGTTAGGATAAGTAGGAAGTTCTAAGTAGTAAATTCTGGGTTATGCTAGGAAATCCTGTGACAAACACGCATAAACACACACATACATTCCCACAATTATTTATATCTTAGCATGGGGCTTATACAATTGTCTTTTTAAAAGTATCTTAGTAGTCTACTTTCTGTAGAAAAGGCCCCCCAAAACCCCAAAGCTAGAATTTCTAGATCCAGCTGAAAGGCCATAGATTCAGGCTACCACATCTTCCTTCTGTCACATTGGATTGGTCACCTTATAAGGGGGGGGGAAGCAGTCTAGAAACATTATTCCTGCGGTGTCTTCCTTCTCAGGGTGAGCCCTGTCTGCTGGTGTTTGGCATCTTCTTGATGGCTCTGAGACCTGTCCTCTCCACCAGCTAATCTGAGATGGCCTCTATTCCCTGTAATTCTTGCCAAGTGATGTAGAGTAGCATTTTAGTACACTTTTAGGGAAAAAAGGAAGATACAAATTTCAGCATCTCAGGAATTCAGTAATGTTTTTATAAGGAGTTCCCTGAAGACTGGAGTCTTTAACTCAAAAGACAACATGTGGAAAGGAGAGTGTCAGCCTGCACCCAGAGGCTCCCCTTGCTTCTGCAACATTAGTACGATGCCGCTCTTCTATGGGGCCAGGATTTACCAGGAGTTGTGAAGGCCCATTGCCAAATGGGAAAGGGCCACCATGGATAATGTGTGGGGAAACTCTCTTCCATAGGTCCTCATCCCCATAGCCATCTAGGAAGTCTGGAAATAGAAAAAAGCAAAATGGACATTGTCTCTGTAGCAGGACATTTGTACCAGGGAAAATTTGGGTCAAGTGGACCTGACCATCCTTAAAGGATAATTAGACTGCTTGGGTTGCTTTCTACTTAGTCAAGACAAAGCTTTAATATTTTTAAATTGAGCATCTCTTATGAAGCATAGAATTATTAAGTTACTTTATGTGTTCCCTGGAAATGTTTTCTTCTTTCTAGAAGAACAAGTTGGGAGAAAAAGTTTTTTATCCCCTGCTTATAAGAAAGATCTATATCTATTCTAAAACATTATAAATTACAGGAAAATATAGAGAAGGTATCACTCATAATTACTGATTATACTTTTTTGATATATCCCACATTGAGAAAATTTAAGTCATTTTTCTTGCTTCAGAGAATTCTCTTCTGGAAGCTAAGTCATTAGTTAATAAATAGAAAGAAGCAGAATATGAACAACCCATTGGCTGCCTTGATGATAAAAAAGAGAACAGAGGCAAAATTCAGACTAAAACCCCTCCTTCTCCACCTCTCAATTCATGTCCACTCTGGGACTTCAACCCCCTGAATACACTCATTCCTCTGTTATCCAGACTAAAGCCTCAAAGAGAAAGAGCCTTAGGGAAGCTGAGGGGTCATGTGTAATCTTAATGCTCACTTTACTTGGTTTGTTTTTTATGTTGATAATTAGATTTTTCTCTCTCTTCTTTCTTTTTCTGTCTTCCTTCACAAGTCATTTGAGGAAATCAATGAAAGGTATATAAACCATGGTGATTGGGAATAGCATGACTGGATGCTTTATTTTTAATATTTTGATGCTTTATAGAAAAGGAGCTGCCAATTAAAAATACATTTAGTGAGCTGCTGAATTTTCACTTTGAGATGCAGTGCTTTTAAAAGCTAAATGATAGCATTGAAAGAAAATTGCATGTGCTTTAGTTAAATAACAATTATCACAATGTAGTTTCTTAACTGCTTCCTTGAGATGTAATCTGTATTTCCAACCCAATGTGGACCATCTTTTCTGTCAGTGTATACAAAAAAATTTATAGATGGTTAGACTTATTGGTTAAATATGAGAATTTGAAAGACTCCTTCATGTCTGCCTTGAGCAATTTTATGTGTTATGCAATCTTAATGACATGTTTCCTCATTTTCTCTTCAAGAAATATTTATGCATTTATCTTCTCTCTCTGTCCACTAACCTAAATGAATCTTACTCTTTTTGTTGATACTTTAAACAATCAGTCTAAGAGATTCTTTTTTTGGGGGGTCCGGTTGTGGGCCTGAATTCTGGGCCTGGGCGCTGTCCCTCAGCTCTTCAGCTCAAGGCTAGCGCTCTACCACTTGAGCCACAGCGCCACTTCTGGCTTTTTTCGTTTTGCTTATGTGGTGCTGAGGAATAGAACCCAGGGCCTCATGCATGCAAGGCAAGCGCTCTACCACTGAGCCACCTTCCCAGCCCCTAAGAGATTCTTTTGAAAGGCAAAACATTCCAAAATTAGAAAATGTTGTCTATAAAAATACACGCTATCAGATTTATGTTCACCTTTTGGAGCACAGTAGGGAGAGCTGACCCTTTTACCCTTTGCCCCATGGAAAGTCCTGAGGTTTTTCCTACGGGGTAAACTTAATTATTTTTAAAAATCATTTTAACAGTATTTATTACATTTAAAAATTTTAGCTTTTTATTATCTTTAAATAGTTGTATGGGGCTGGGAAGGTGGCTCAGTGGTAGAGCACTTGCCTTGCATGCATGAGGCCCTGGGTTCGATTCCTCAGCACCACATAAGCAAAAAGAAAAAAGCCGGAAGTGGCATTGTGGCTCAAGTGGTAGAGCGCTAGCCTTGAGCTGAAGAGCTGAGGGACAGTGCCCAGGCCCAGAGTTCAGGCCCCACGACTGGACCCCCCCCCAAAAAAATAGTTGTACAAGGGAGTTTTAATTAAACATGTCAAGCCATGAATACAATACCTTTTGATCAGTGTTACCCTTCAATTACTGCCCCCTACCCTTCACCACTATCTGATGAGATCAGGTGCGTTCAGGGTGGTATGGCCGTAGACTCTCACCACTATCTGTACAAGTTTAACTTTTCGTTAATTTTTTGTGTGTATGTGTCAGTACTGGGGCTTAAACTCCTGAGTTGCTTTGAGGGAAAAAGGCACTACCTGAGCTGCTACCTTTTTCCATAGCTGGCACCATCTTTGAGCCATGCCTCCAGTTCTGGCTTTTGCCTGGTTAGTTGGATATAAGAATCTCTTAGATTTATTTGCCTGGGCTGGCTTCAAACTACTATCCTCAAATAGATAAAGTAAAACCAGAAATTTGTATCTGTGATATATTAGGGCATAGAAAAATGGATATGAACCGGGCACCAGTGGCTCATGCCTATAGTCCTACTCAGGAGGCTGAGATCTGAGAATCATGGTTTAAAGCCAGCCCAGGCAGAGAAGTCCCTGTGAGACTCTTATCTCTGATAAACTACTTAAAAAAGCCAGAAGTGGTGCTCTGGCTCAAGTGGTAGAGCACTATCCTTAAGCATATAAAGGCTCAGAGATAGTGCCTAGGCCCTGAGTTCAAGCCTAGGACCAGCCAAAAAGAAAAAAGAAAAATTGACATGGATAGGACACCTGATTTTTTTTTTACATTATTGAAGCTGTACAGATGAATCCTATTCCATTCACCAGATTATTGACAATAAGTTTTACAAAAAATAATTTACATATTACTATCTGTATTAATCAGTAATAGCTTTAGAGTGGTGACTCATGAATAGAATTACTGGGAGGCCTTAAAAAGAATCTTATGTCCTGAGATTCCAGTTTAGTCCATCCAAAGTGTGGCCTGGGTATTTATAAAGCTTCCTGGGTGATTCTAGTGTGCAGACAGTGTTAAGAAACTCTTGTTCATTAGTCTGTTCTTGGGATCTGGGGCTCCTCAAACTGACTGTATTTGAATCACCTGTATAATTTGTGCAATCAAAATTTCTGGAGTCCTGCACCAAATCCACTATGTGAGAATTCCTAGGGTGGGACTATGTACCCATACATTAGCACTTTGTATAAATGAGTTCTGAGCTACATTAGTCAGGCCTGGAAACTCATACCCTCTCCTGCTCTGTTCACTTTATTAAATAAAACAAAAAAACAGTTGTGTTGGGATGTAAAGTGCTTGCCTAACAAATACAATGTCCTGGGTTCCTGTATCTGTATGTGTGATATCTGTCTGTCTGTCTGTCTCTCTCTCTATATATATACACACACACATATACACACACTTCTTCCTAATGATTATTATTTTATAAAAAATATGAATTTATAGTGCTATTACATATACAGTGGATAGTATATATGCATATTTGATTATTCATATTTTATTTATTTTTGGAAGATAATGATCAGTAAGAAAATTTGGTAGATGAGACTCTGAGTGCTTTTATTTAAAAATACAATAGAGTATTTTTACTTTCCTAAAACATTAGAATATTACAAATGTGAACTGAAAACTATTTGATACTAAACCCTGTATCTTTGTTTTTTGGGGTTTACACTTGCTCATTTTGTGTCATTTAATTAATTTTTACTTCATTGTTGTCTAACTGGCAATGAATTAATCTTTACTAAAGCTGCATGTTACCTAAAGAGAATGAATTTCAGCTAACCCTTGTTTTTCTGAAGTAGAAAAGACAAGACAATTCTTGGATTTGGTAGAGAAATATAAACAAGTAAAAGTCCATTAATATGGTTCATAAGCACGTGTACAATAGCACACACATACACACATACAAAACTAACTTTCATGTCCTCAGCTAGCTTCTGTCTCCAGATATAGTATTCCTTCTAGAAGAAATGATGAGTATCTAGTTTATTTCACCATGTTGCTTTTTCTTCATTTTATATTGTATCAGGAAGGACAGCACTTGCATATTATTTTTCTCAACATTAAGCATGCTTGAAGTAAGAAATGCTGTCAAATGTATTAGGCTCAATATTTGCATGTCTCATTTTGTTTTGGAAATGCTAGTCTGTTAAGGAGATGCAGTTATTCCTTTGTTTTTGCTCTTTTCTACAATAATGAAAAAGAGAATCACCACCATTGTAGGACCTACTTTCTAAAAGATGTCTGCTTACCCTCCCACATGCAAATGTTAAAACTGAACATAGTGGAATAGGCCATAGTGGAATACAGTAGAGCTTTGCTTCATAAAACCTCCACTACCAGTCCCACTTTCCAATGAAAAATTGTTTTTGCTTTTGTCCTGTACCTTGTTTAGTACTTTCTTAACTGATGCAGAGGTTTGTCCTCCTGGCAGGTTGCTTTCTGCGATGGACAGAACGGCTTCTTTGGAGAACATGCCTGCTGCCTTTTCCCTTTTTGAACATTATGATGACAGCTCAGCGAGAAGTGACCAGATGTTGAAACAAGTGGCTGGTAATCATTGTGATATATTAATTAATTTGATAGCATTTGGAAGCTCTTACTTGTTTGTTTTGAAACATTTATATATCTGGAAAAAGAAAAGTGTTGATTGTATTATCTTAAAGCAATACTTTGAAATAAAGCAGGTGACCAGCATTCCATTTCAACGATAAACTACATTTCTATTTGAAGCATTATGACTGTGTTGGGGTAAAAAGAGGTAGAAGGAAGGAGTCCTTTGTATTTTGTCTTCTTTAAAAAATAGGACATTGTCTGGGCACTACTGGCTCGTGCCTGTAATTCTAGCTGCTCAAGAGGTTGAGATATGAGGATTTTGGTTTGAAACCAGTCTAGGCAGGAAACTTATGAGTCTCTTAATTCCAATTAACCACCGAAAAGCTAGAAGTAGAACTGTGGTTCAAGTGGTAGAGTGCTAGCCTTAAGCAAAATGGTTCAGAGATAGCACCCAGGTCCTGAGTTCAAGCTCCCAAGATTGGCACAAAAAGAAAAAGATATTTATCTCTATTCATGAATCTATGTATATTTCTCCTCCCTCCCTCCCTCCC